AACTCCCACTCCAGCATCAACACCCACTCCAGCATCAACTCCCACTCCAGCATCAACACCCACTCCAGCATCAACTCCCACTCCAGCATCAACACCCACTCCAGCATCAACTCCCACTTCAACTTCAACTTCAACTTCAACTTCAACTTCAACTTCAACTTCAACTTCAACTTCAACTTCAACTTCAACTTCAACTTCAACTTCAACTTCAACTTCAACTCCCACTCCCACTCCTGATACAGGTTTAATTAATTACATGTTAAATAATTATAAATTTTGAATCTAGTTCATTTTTATAAAGATAATCAAAAAAATTTATGAATTACAGAAGAAATAGTAATCGATAGCATCGAAGAGGTTGAGAAAAATGTGGATGAATTGACGAATAAAACCAATAATTATAGTGAATTTGAATCCATTGATGAGTTGATAGATGCGATCGAAATAATTGATAAAATAAGTGAATATTTACAAACAAATGGCTCAACACTTAATGATACTGTGGCTATGAATATATCGCAAAATTTGGTGACACTTGTGAGTCAAGTAATCGATCAAAACGTTTGGATGAATACGACTGTTAAGAGTGAAGAGACCGTAGAGTTGGCGTCAAAACTGTTATATAATATACAGACCATTGCTTTTGCGGCAAATTGCTATTTAAATGCACAAAAAAATACAATTATAATTGAGAGCAAGAATTTGGTTGAAAAACATTATTACTTTCATTTGACAGAAGAAATTAATTTTAAATATAATTCTTCATCAATACTAATACCAAATGGTAATCATTATGAAGGAAGTGGTGGTGATATGTGTTCATGTGTAAGGTATACCTCTATGGGTACACATATTTATAAATTGGGACAATATTTAACTCATGGTATGATTGACATACAAATTAATAGCCCTATCATTGGGTTCAATATTAGAAATACTAATACTAGCCATGAATTCACTGATGGATCTAATGTTAAAATTAGGTATTTATCAAAATAATATTTGAGAAAGGGACATTTATTCCGTAGAAATTGTTTTTATATCCAGATAATTGATGGTATTCATCATACTCATAAACAAATGATCGTCTACGTGCATAAATGGGTTATGTATCTTTCAAATCAAACTGTATACATAACATAATCATTGCATTTATAATATCTAATATTATTTATTACTTTAAGAAATGCAATGATTGTGTTATGTATACAGTTTGAATTGAAAAATACATAACCCTTTTTAAGCACCCAGTGGATCATATTATATAATCTTGATATTAAAGTAATTTCTACAGAATATATGTTCTTAGTCAATTATTAATTATTTACTAGTTTTTAATAACTTTTAATAGCCTAAAACACAAAAATCGTTTGGTTTTAGGCGATAGAGTTTTGTGTGTTTTCTGGGACTTTGATTGCAAGAAGTGGTCATCAGATGGATGTCGACTAATAGAGAGTGAATCCAATCGCGAGACAACTGTCTGTGAATGCAATCATTTGACTAATTTTGCGGCTCTTATGGACACTTCCGGTCGAGAAGATGATAATGATTTAGGAAAAAATATTTCCACATATATTTGTTGCAGTCTTTCAATCATTTGTTTAGCAATATATTTGTTATTTTTGTGGCGAAAAAAGCTATTTAACATTAGATGTAAAAATATCGTACGGAGTGAACATTCGTTAGGATTTCTGGAAAAGCAAGATTTTTTTGTTATGAATTTATGCATTTGTCTATTGATTACAGATTTGCTTATTATTGTTGGAATGGATCGAAAAGATAGCGGGGTAATTATTTTTATATATTACTACCAAGAATATATAACCAATGTGTTTTTTCATGAATATTTTTCAGAGAACGTAAAACTGCTTTACGGGTAAAGTATCAATATAAGTTTTGAAATATGGCATATCTTGTACTATGTCTATACAAATAATTTATTTTATCAATATTAACTTTATACCAGTATTTTAAAATGAGAAATCATGATTAATTTCACGTACAAGATATGGCACATATAAAAATTTATAATTTACTCGTAAAACAGTTCTCTGAGAAATATTTATAAAAAACAAATAGACTGTTTCCTTGGTACTGATATTGGTTATTAAATAATAGGAATTATTATAATTTTATTTCAATTTCAATATTACTATTATTAGCAGCTTTGTCAAATAATGTCAATGCTGTTATTATATTCAATTTTGTCGGCATTTGTTTGGATGTTTTTGAATGGATACCAGTTCTACCGTTTGGCTAACAATGCATTCAATATTGACTATAATAAACCATTATACCTCAAACTGGGTTACGGACTACCGGTGCTTATTATTGCGATATTCTTTCTACACATTATGCTTCAAGACAATGGTATCGGAATGTTTGAGGAACACCTAACCGGCCAGTATTTGTATGAAATTGTTTTATAATTTGAAAATATGTTATAAACTCATAAAATTATTAAACTACAGTTGTTGGATATCGTCCCAGGCACATCCCGAAAACGTTTATGTATTAATCGGTATATGAATACAATATTAGTCTGACAATATTATCAGAGTTAGACAACCTTATACAATTGATCAATGGTTAATTTCTGAATCGAAAATTAAGTGCACTTTTTTGGTTTTGTATGATAGTAATAGTTTCTATTCTGGCTATACTAGTATAAGTATACACACACAAAAAACTGCCCTGATGCTACTAATCAGAATTATACCAATTACCAAATGTAAAAGATTATCTAACACGGATCTATATTTGCAATATTTTAATAATAGATTACATAATTTACGTTTAGTTCCCGCAATGTTATCGATTGTATTAAACATTGCATTCGTTGCATACTTATTATACAAATCCAAAGTGAATGTGAGTTTACGATACATCCTATCGTTTGTATGGATTTTGTTCAATAGTGGCATTTCGTGGACACTATTTATATTTTATATCCATCGCTGGACTCCATTTCCCCTCATATTCTCCTATTTATTTATATTCTTCAATGGTTTACAGGTATATCATGTGTTTTATATTAAATATTTTGCATTGATTAATTTATAAAATTATGTCATTAAAGGGAGTATTTATAGTAATATATCAGATGAAAATACGTCTGGAATGGTTCGATAGACGAGTGAAATAAACTTTGCTTGTTAACCACGAAATATTAACATTAAAACCTTTATTTAAGTATATTATTAATTTAATATTATAACGATGTTTCAATATTACTCTTTAAATTATAAAATGTCTTGCCACCTTTTACCAAATTGCTTGAAAATGTTGAAACCCCCCTTTTCTTTGAGCATTAATTTTGAAAAATAATATAATAAAAATATAAAATACCTTTATTACAAATTGATAATACTCTAAATCATAGATGTCCAATACAGCTATATTTATATAATTTCTATATACTTATAACAATAATAATTGCATAAGCTCAAACAGTTCCACTACTTCTGGGTCCGACACCTACCGGTGCCTCAATCCATATTAGACCGCTTCCTATCGTTGGCCACACAGCTAGAGGACGGCCTACGAGAGTACGTCTCCAACAAAGCCACGCATTTCCAGACATTGAACTCAAGACTGGTTATATCGTATCTACCGGTGCTGTCATTGATAAGCTTTCAGTGGACAGTCTGTTGGACACGACAGAGGACATACACCACGTGGTGGCCACGGCTTTGAACGCAAGTCTGGCTGAAAATATTGTGTCGTTTAGGCGACAGGTCGTGGATTTGGCGGTCAATGGGACGCAGCCTATCACTCAATTGGTGTCGGCTTTGAAGGCTGTGTTCGGAGGGACTGTCGATAGTATACTGACTGATGTGAAGGCTGTCCGACAGGGACTGGTAGCTACTGAACAGACTGTCCGCAAACAACTTAATACTACTACAGGTGCCGACCGTAGAGATGAGTTGCAAACTATTGACAACCGTTTGGTCCGAGAGGTTGGCGTTTATGACGAACTGGTGGATCAGGTGTCAGGTATTGTGGCCAGAGTTGGGCAGCTCCGGGATGTTAATCACAATTCACTGGTAGCTAAACGAGCGATAGATGCCGGAAAGGTTGTGGACAATTTGATCACCCTGCCCTATTTGCTAATAATTGCCGCTTTTAACTATGCTCTTGGTTAAATTGTGCTAATACAAATAATAAATCACTAAATAAGTGTTGTTCTTTAAATGTTATTTAAAGTTGTATAATACTAAATAACTTATAACTCATTTGTTAGTAAATAAATTTTGAACTGACATAACAATACGAATAACAAAACAAGGCTTGAAAGCTATGCTATAAAACCCACAATTACAAGAAAATAATTATAGAGTCACTTATAATGTTATAAATTATAGATCTTTATAGTCTATCCATGAAAGCCTATAAAATTATATGTTATCACAATTTAAATTTTATATTGTATTAGCTTTGTAAAATTAAATTAATTAGAAGCAAGTTATTGGAAATAAAGTGTGAAGAGACCATTAAAAGGAGGGCAAGAAAGGGGATGACAAACCAAAACTATAACCAATTTTTTCTGCGTAGATGTGGGTAATAATTTTTATAATACCAGTAGATTAATATTTTTATGAAACAGTAAATAAAATAATAAATTATATTATAAATTTTATGATAGCAATAAATATACGAAATTCATTATGAAATATATCATGTTACCATGGCATAAAAGATATGATACCAATTGTTACTCGCATACACAGTAAGAAATTTATGTTTACCCTAAAGTCAGTTATAATAAGCGACATATAATAACACAACTAGTATTTTTGTGTTTTTAATTTTATAAACTACATTAATCATATTTTATATTAATTTTGTAAAATCTAAATCTAAATTAACTTACCTCGCAATATCAACATACAAAAATGAACAAGTTGTATAGAATTTTTTATAATTTACTTGTTGCGATATGCTTTTCAATATCCGTGACCACGGTGCCAGTTGATGAATTTTATGCCTACGGAGTTGAGCATGGTGACATTCGACTGAATCCACGAAACAAAGATGATGGCAGTTCAGACGAGATCCAACTGACCGCGGGATTCCGCTATTTTGACACCACCCACCATTCATTGTGGGTCAATGTGAACGGGGCCATTTCGTTTCGGCAGGCCATCGCCACGTACACACCCGTTTGCGTGCCCGTGTCCCGTGAGTTTACCATGATCGCGCCCTTTTGGGCGGACGTTGACTTGAGCTACGGTGGCGACATATTGTACCGAGACACTACAGAACCGACCGTGCTCAATAAAGCGTCCAACGATATTATGAGAGCGTTTCCCGAATTTAGTGGCGTCGAAGTTACCTGGGCGTTTGTGACCACCTGGCTCAACGTGAGTTACTACGGAGCCAATGGATGCTCGGTACGATCGCGCAATACGTTTCAAAGTGTGCTGGCTAGCAATGGCGCTCATTCGTTCGCCATATTCAACTATAACGATATCACGTGGACCACGGGATTGGCGTCCGGGGGTCAGTGTCCAGGAATCGGTGGGACTCCAGCGAAAGCGGGTTTTGATCCAGCTGATGGCGCGAGTCTGTTTAGTATACCAGGATCGTGTACGAACGATATTATCTCAATCAATAAGAGGTCAAACATGAATGAGCCAGGCATGTGGTTATTTCGCGTTGATAACGAAACTATTAAATCAGCCGGATGTGAACCCAAATTTTCTAGCATGCTGAGTGTTGTCCCTAATTTTGTGAATATGTACGGGCACGTGCCATTGCAATTATCAGGGCCATGCTTCGACGCGACCGATGATATAATTTGCAGGTTTATGGATAAAGTAAAAGGGCCAATAGACGTGCAATGTATTGTGGACGGGCTACCGAGTAATCACCGTGCACTATGTATTGCACCATATTTGTATAGTGGTGGGAGAATGAACATTGATTTAATCGTTAATCGAAATGGATCCGAGACTATTTATAACGGCTACTTATACGTCATTGAGCCACGGGAGAATGATAAACAAGTTGACATACTGATCACTAACGCATCGAATACGGAAATTAATATAAAATTCACATGGAACACAACGTATTTCGACGCGAATACCACATTGAGCATACAAATGTACACTTTTGATGACGCTAATGATGAGTGGTCACGTGTAATGACAATGGTGGATAATATTTCGAATAGTGGCCACTATGCGAGTAATTTTAACAAGCTACTCCTTCCTGAGGAAATTTGGAATTCAGCAACTATAGTTTCGGTGGAGCCAACGGGTAGCAAGGTGACACGTTTTAAACGCGGATTTTGGAGCGATTTGGGCAAGGCACTATTCTCGGCGTTCGTAAATGTTGTTGAATTTTTTGACGATATTTTTGGTGACACCTGCATGGAGTGGTACCGTGGCGACCCTGGCGGTCCAACGGACCTAATACCGTGTCCACCGACAGTCACGCAATTTCAGGCTGATCCACGCTACGAAATTGACCCGGGTTGCACGTCGGCACCGTGCGAATTTCACCCGGGTGCCGATTTTTGTATACGATCCCGAACGCCTAGCCCTAGTGGCGGAGGACAACAGTGTTGTTACCTTGGTGACAAAATATTACTCGGTCCACGTGGCGGCGGCACTGTAGACAAAAGTCATCACAAAAACGGTTTCTTAAAAATTGATCATTTCAACGCCGACGTATTGCCCTGGATCAAATGTTGCAAGGACAAAAGTGACCAACTCTGCCATCGGTACTACGAAAAACGACCGTCCGACCCGGGTACAAACTACGAGCCGCCACAACCTTCGGGCGCCAGTGGCGACCCCCATATTTCAACGTTCGACGGCGTTGACTATACGTTCAATGGCGCGGGTGAATTTTGGTTGATCCGCGATGGGCCCGGTATGCCAATGGCAGTTCAGTCGCGTATGGAAATATACGTTGATAATAAGGGCGACGCACGAAACGCTACAATATTTACGGCGTTCGCAATGAAAGGGCGCTACACGCCATTGATACAGGTTTCAAAAATCACCTTGCCACCAATCTATACGACTCGTGTAACGTTTGCTCTTATGTTTTGCTCTAGGTACAAAAATCAATGTTACGTACAGTGGATATTTATGTGGATAATTTTATAATGGATTTGAGTGTCCCTGAACTCTATGACACAACGTATAATGGTGTACAAGTGACCATTGCGAGTGATAGGAGCATGGTGACGATATCATTTGCGAGTGGTTTTAATTTTGTCATCTCAACCAATGGCCAAGCATTTTCCATATTTAGTACATGCGATAAGAAGTACATTAATAAAACCCGGGGCCTTTTAGGTGTTTACGATGGCATCAAGGAAAATGATCTTCAAGACCAACATGGTAATATTATTGATATAACCTCATCACAAAGCGATATACATTACAAGTTTGGACTTAAATGGCGAGTGTTGGCCGCGGATAGTTTATTTTTATATACAGGTAAGTTTATTAATATGCTTATCTAAATATATAAATACAATTGTATACATAAGCTTGTATAAATAATCCTATTACACTGTAATAACAATTATAAATTATAATTTGTAACCAGCTAAGAAATACGATGACTATAATATCGAAAGTTTCGCGCCTGACCTCACTGATCCGAGCATGTTCAATGTGACTGAGCATGCTCAAATGCTGTGCGGTCAGTCCATTGATTGTCTGTACGATTATATTGCAACGGGAAGCGCTAGCGTGGCCAACCACACAAAATCCGTTAGAAATGACTATAACCAAATCGTTCGAATTTATGAGAATAAAGTGACCACGTGTCCACCATTGAGTTACCCTGATAATGGCTACTTTCACGCTGAAAACTTTCTACCTGGTAGCGTTGCGAGTTATGGTTGTTTTGAAAATTTCACATTGCGAGGAATTGTGACAATTAAGTGTCACGATAATGGCACGTGGAGTGACTCGGCCCCTATATGTGAGTCACAAAATGATACTAATGACCAGGGAAATAATACTGAGCAGGGTGGCCTATTATATATCATATTGGTTGGAATTCTAGTATTGGTGACGTTTGCTATTACCTTAATTATATTTCGACGCTACTATAGTGCCCGTAAAAGGAGGCTATATAATCAGGTTTACTAACCCTGATATCTTTTTTTATAAACATTGAGTTCCAAAAGTTTAAATTCTTTCAACAAATATGTTTTATAAGATACCGTGTTTATAAAAATATCTGGAAATTGTTTAATAATTTTTAACTCTTCTTTATAAGCTATTACATTTTTACATCAACGATTTTTGTTTTATCTGGTTATAAAATAATTTGATTTATTTGTATGAACTCTTATTTTATAAAATACAGCATATAAATAAATTAGTAACAATTAAAAACATAATATTGTACAGTACCACACGTTTATGATTAATTGGTATAAACTTTATAACCTCACCAAGGGCATATTTACGCATTTAATTCAGTTTTAAATTACTATATTCGTAACAATATTATGAGTACTAAAATTGCTACAACCTGTATACAATTAATTGTATAAATACAACGTTAATGTAAAACACTGAAGGTTAAATGTGTGATATTAACAAAAACTCTGAAATATACAAATAATTAATTATTTTAATTTTAACATATACCTTTTTAAATTTAGAAACTATATTTTAAAAGTTATATTAATATGGTCAGTCAAATTACCACATGTGATGTTCACATTATTCACAAAAATAATAAAATTTTCTAGACATATAATTATTATTTCCGCTTACATTAATAAATTGAAAAGTATATAAACTCGCACAATTTACTAACAAAATTCATTGAAAATTTAAAACATTTATTCATTTATTAACTAATAGTAAAAGTTATACTAATAATTAAAATGTTGTTAAACACTATTGTCGTGGCACTGGTCGTGAGCACCGGTATTAACTGTCTATCATTAGACAGTATCAAAGCCGATGTAAGCGCCGGTATCTAGAAAGGCTTGGGACAGGTATTTGACTCGGTTGACCAGGCTAAGTTGACTGTAGGCGCCAATGCCAACCAAATTGACAATTCAGTGGTGAATGGTATCCAAGTCATACATACCGGTGTCAAGTCTAACAAACTGTCCACTCAACTAAACCTGGCTCTCAAACAGTTCCACTACTTGCAAGCACTCAGTGGACAACCTGTTGGACTCGGCAGAGGACATACACCACGTGGTGGCCACGGCTTTGAACGCAAGTCTGGCTGAAAATATTGTGTCGTTTAGGCGACAGATCGTGGATTTGGCGGTCAATGGGACGCAACCTATCACTCAATTGGTGTCCGCTTTGAAGGCTGTGTTCGGAGGGACTGTCGACAGTATACTGACTGATGTGAGGGCTATTTGACAGGGACTGGTAGCTACTGAGCAGACTGTCCGCAAACAACTTAATACGACTACAGGTGCTGACCGTAGAGATGAGTTGCAAACCCTTGACAACCGTTTGGTCCGAGAGGTTGGCGTTTATGACGAACTGGTCGATCAGGTGTCAGGTATTGTGGCCAGAGTTAGGCAGCTCCAGGATGTTAGCGACAACGCACTGGTAGCTAAACGAGCGATAGATGGCGGAAATGTTGTGAATGATTTGATCACCCTGCCCTATTTGCCAATAATTGCCGCATTTAACTATGCCCTAGGTTAAATTGTGTTATTACCGTTAATTAATCAATGTTTCTAAAAATTTTCAATAAATAATTTGCAAGTTTATAAGTGTGCAAAGTTTATAAATTGAGACAATTAAATTAGAATCACACTTAATTACTTATAATCATATTTTTACTTAGGTAGAAAAATAAATATGTAAGACATATCAAATTGAAACACATGGAAAATGATATAAATTGTTGTTTGATTGTTGTACTTCGAAAATTTTATTTAATATTTAATTAAGTCAAATATTTATATTATATGAAGTGATATAATATTTTATTTTTAAAATAATTTTATGAAAATTAACTTTAATTATAGAAAATTTTCAAATACTTGACATTATGTCAAGTATTACCCCTTCCCTTGATACTTGACGAGACTTGAATGACAAAGTGAAATACTTGACAGTGGGCAGTCTAGTATTATTTAACAACAAAAATAAAATAATATTATTTACATTGAAAATTTATATATTTTAATAAGACTTTAATCATATTAATTGTAATAGTTCCGCGATGTAAACATTTATATCGTTTTTACAACTTAATTACTTGTTTTAACAAGTAGTCCTGTGAAATATAGCAATATAAATGTTAATGTTAATCATAAAGCTCATGCACTTATCAGTAATTTATAAAATATTTTATTAATTTATCAGTAGCATTTCAAGTTCCTTAATAAGGTGTTACGCAAGTGGGTTACTGTGTGATACTTCAATACATGCATGTTTATTGCCATACATAAAATAGCGATTTTCATTGATATTGTACCAATCAGCAAAATTATATTAGTCTAGATGAGTTTATCAAACATTATTAAAATATGGTGTTTTGATAACAAATTAGATTGAATTATCTGTAGTTTTATTTTAAAAATGATCAAATACCCTGCATATATTGAGGATATCATGAAATACTTAACATTATATACAGTAAACATCAATTAATATTTTATCACAATACTGGTATAATATAAATATGCATTGTAATCTACTAACTATAGATCATTATTATAGCATCCAAACCTAGGTGGTATAAAAGACCTTTATATTATTAGTCGCAACTGCTCTGACACTGGCAAATAGACTTTATATTCGTAGTCGTTGATTTGACCTACAATACCTATAGTGGTAAAATCTTATCCAATTTATAACGGTTCCGACCATAATATCATTGCATGTGGTATATCGATGGAATCAGCTCAATGAGTAGAGTAAAAAATTATCTTCTTTAGTTGAATAAAATTGAATTATCTTCTTTGACCATGGAGGAATATTAGCTGATCCAGATTAAGAAATGAATTTCTTAACCTACTCATTGTGCTGATTCCAACCATATATCAAATGCAATGATATGATGGTCAGAACCGTTAATATTTTAGTATTGTAGGTATTGTAGATCAAATAAACGTAGGAAAAATCATAGACAACCCTTTATATTATTAGTGGTTGGTCGCAATTAATCAAATAGATTGTTAAATAGTTATTTATTTTCTAAAGTCTTAGGTAAAATCCCTTTATAATTGAATATAATGACAAATAATTTGAATAATTTATGAATTAGACAAATAATTAACTGTACTCATCAATTAATTCGTAAATATAATCATATATTAGTCACTAAACATGATTAAATTAATATCAAAAGAAAAATTCAATTTTGATTTCTTATAAACAAAAGGATTTAAAGGTTTTAGTATATTTGTAGAATTACAGTATATTTTGTTTTTGTATGAAATACAAATCAATTAATTTTATATTTTATTTTATTCATTAAAATAAAAAGTTTAATAAAGATTATCTTAAATTTACATTTTTGCGTTAATTATGTATAAATATCTAAAATAATTAAAATAGTTATGAACCTATCAAATAGTTATTTATAGGTAAAATAAGTCTCCTAAAATTACCCTTATTACATGATACGTATACATAATTAAACTCATAAAGTTCTCCGATATCCCAGCAAGTGGTTAACTAACTGAATTTGGATGCTTTAATCATTATAATAAAATGACTAGAAATAAGATAAATTTAATTTATTTTTTTATATTACTGTAATATAAATCTATTGGGGACTATAAAATATTAATAATATAAGTTATAAGTTCGTAAAAGCATATGCAATTAGTAGCATTATTTAATTGCAGTTTAAAAATCCTGTCTATTATATAAGTCTTTAAAAAATCAAAAATCTGTTATAAATGCATTGCAAACCATGTTATACAGAGTTGTTTAAAATATTTAACTTTATATAAAGGGTGAGAAATGTAATTATAAATTTTATTTATTTGGTTAAAGTTTGAATAAACTGGAAAAACTTTTAAAAACTACTACATCGCAACTTCATCGATCTGATTTTATTAATTTAAGTTATAAACTATTTTACATAAGATGTTCAATATATTAATGTTAATTATAAAATCTATTTTTATTGCAAGATATTATATAGTTTGCCTTGATGGCATTGATCTAAAAAATAATAATAATAGAGCAATGACAATTGAGTTAACGGGTGTTTGTGATTATGTGGTAAATGAATGGATACGATGCAAGACTGATGTGGAAAAGAATATGAAAGATGAGTTGAATAAAGTATTTGATCCCAACTCACAATACGCTTCGTACAAATTTATTGAATGGTCGGGTCCTGTAATTGATGGACAAATCACTAGTGATATTATCCCTTATCAGTGGTCAGTGGTCAGTGAACAGATTGGATCTGGATGTAAGTAATCTTAAGGGTATAGATGTTAATCCGCTCAATGGTAGGATCATCACCGAACTGAATGTATTAGGCGGATCCACAACACAATTAACATTTGATCTTACTCCTGCTGCATTGAGGCATAATGTGAAAGGTTTGATTTTTCATTTATTATATTATTTCTAATTGTTCCGGTAATACCTAACATTATAAACCATGTAATAATTATGATAATGTATTGTTTGAAAAATTAATGTTTAAACTTTGTGATGGAATTGGCCATGAACTTACATTTTCAAATTTATTCTCATCATGATAGATTTGCAACATTTAAGCATTAACCTGGATAATAATATTCATCATAATATCAACCAAATGATTAGTAATAAATTAAAATCATTGAGGTTTGTTGGTGATTACACAATGTCTCTCAGTTGGGCTATTGAGAAAAATTATTTATATAAAAACTTGGAATTAATTGAATTTAAAGTATTGAGCGTTGTGAATATTGGTATATGGACATTTAATCTACTTGACTGTCAAGAGGTGGACACCTGTCCAAAATTAACCATAAATTTAGAGAACACTCAATTGAATGAACAGAGTTTAGATAAGGATGCGTTCATGATATCCAACGATAATAAAAAACAATATCACGTCAATTTGGGTATAGAATTTTATTTTCAATATGAATATAATTGATTAAATAATTTTATTGTATGTTCTTTAGCAAAAAACAAATTTAATTTAATACGAGAAGATCTATTTGGAAATATTTTGAATATAAACAGTAAAAGTACGCTCGATATGACTGATAATCCCATAGATTGTAGTGAGGCAAACAAGGTTAATTTTATATGGTTAATATCCAGGAAGGGTTTCTATAAAAATCGTGTGCTAGCTAATTGTGCAAATAGTTTGATATCAATCTGGGATTATTATTCACCACCTGTTCCAGGTTAATAAAAATGCATTTTCATTATAATATAATTTATAAATACGTTAATTATTTATGAATTTTCATTGAAAATACAGGAGAAATAGAAATCGATAGCATCGAAGACGTAGAGAAAAATGTGAACGAATTGACGTATAAAACGCATAATTATAATGAATTACAAACCATTGAAGAGTTAACAGATATTATCGATATAATTGACAATATTAGCACATATTTGCAAACAATTGGTGAGCCTATTGAGCCAACGCTGGCTATGAAAATATCGCAAAATTTGGTGACACTTATGAGTCAAGTAATCGATCAAAACGTTTGGATGAATACCACTGTTAAGAGTGAAGTGACCGTAGAGTTGGCGTCAAAACTATTATATAATATACAGACCATTTCTTTTGCGACAAATTGCTATTTAAATGCACAGAAAAATACATTTAATATTGAGAGCAAAAATTTGGTTGAAAAACATTATTACTTTGTTTTAACAGAAGATTTTACTTTTAAATACAATTCCTCATCAATACTACTTCCACACAGTAATCACTACGAGGGAAGTGGTGGTGATATGTATTCGTGTGTAAATGATACCTCTTTGGGTACATATATTGATAAATTGGGACAATATTTAACTCATGTTATGATTGACACACAAATTAATAGCCATATAATTGCATTTAATATTAGAAATACTAATACAACTCATGAATTCAGTGACGGATCTAATGTTAGAATTAGGTATATATTAATATAGTATTTATAAAAATTTTAACTACCATTGTAACTAAATTTTATAAGTAATTACCGTTGAATAGTTTAAAACACAAGAATCGGTTGGTTTTAGGCGATAGAGTTTTGTGTGTTTTCTGGGACTTTGATCGTAAGAAGTGGTCATCAGATGGATGTCGTCTAATAGAGAGTGAATCCAATCGCGAGACAACTCTCTGAATCATTTGACTAATTTTGCGGTTCTTATGGACACTTCCGGTCGCGAAGATAATCACGATTTGGGGAAAAATATTTCCACATATATTTGTTCCAGACTTTCAATCATTTTCCTTTCAATATATTTGTTATTTTTGTGGCGAAAAGAGTTATTTAACATTAGGTTTAAAAATATCGGACGGAGTGACCATTCGATCGGATTTCTGGAAAAACAAGACTTTTTTGTCATGAATTTATGTATTTGTCTGTTGATTACAAATCTGTTTGTTATTATAGGAATGGATAGAAAAGATATTCGGGTAATAATTGTTTTATATTTATTATTAAATAATAGGAATTTTTATAAATTAATTTCAATTTTAATATTATGAATAGGAGCTTTGTCAAATA